GAACAGTCAGACAATAGATAGATAGATAGATAGATAGATAGATAGATAGATAGATAGATAGATAGATAGATAGATAGATAGATAGATAGATAGATGATAGATGGATAGACAGATGAACAGTCAGACAATAGATAGATAGATAGATAGATAGATAGATAGATAGATAGATAGATAGATAGATAGATAGATAGATAGATAGATAGTAGATGGATAGATGGATAGACAGATGAACAGTCAGACAATAGATAGATAGATAGATAGATGATGATGGATGATGGATAGATAGATAGATAGATAGATAGATAGATAGATAGATAGATAGATAGATAGATAGATAGATAGATAGATAGATAGATATATAAAAGTAATATTTCCATGACTGTATCATCAGCTGACTTCAATCTAAACCCCTAGCGCCATAAAAGCTTCATCCATAAGGAAGTCATTATTGTAAGAAAAACAAAAAAACAAGGCGTTGTTTACATTTAAGCCCCGCCTCCAGCAGATACTTCAGTCTGACGACATTTGAGACTTCAGATTCATCCCACACACCTGAGAGCACCATTCACCTGTGCACAGGTAAGCCTGCTTTCATCTGTTCTTTCACATACAGAACATAACTGATATTATATGACTTTCATCGAGCAAACAATGATACGGTTTTCATGGTTCAAATTATTAACGGAAATGTTTAGGTTCTATAATTGTAGATTTGTAAGAAGAGTTCATGTTCACATTCATGTTTATACAAGAAAAAAATATATAGCTTTGACTGTTTCTCTCACTGCTTATTACTATGACCAGTGCATCCATATGAATTATTTCCAAATAGAACAGAGCTTACATTTATAATTCTTATCGCTTAACAACTTCTGCCGTAAAGGCCGCTTATAAACTGAGCCACTGTAACTCTTATCAGATAAGGAATATAATAAAAACTCCTTCACCCAGATCAGTCATGTTTCCACACTCAAAACAATATATTGCAACATTAAACTGTGAAATAACAGTGTTTTCCTCCGTCCTCCTCTTGCTCGATGCAGCTGGCAGGCGCTGCCATATTGGCGGTGGGCATCTGGGTGGCAGTAGACAGAGTCTCTCTTCTGGGCTTTTTAGAGCACATTGAAGATGCGCCGCCCGAACTGGCACAGCTGGCAAACATCGGCTACCTGCTGATCGGCGTGGGAGCGTTTCTGACGCTCGTGGGCTTCCTGGGATGCTGTGGAGCCGTAAAGGAAAGCAAATGCATGCTGCTCTCGGTAAGTGAGCTGGTTTCCGTCAAATGTGTTCAGCTAAAGCTGCTCTGAATGTTTCACTCTCTATGCTTAGATGCAGACAAAAATGTACATTTCTCAAATGTTCTCCTAGTTCTTCACCGTTGTGCTCATTATCTTCCTCGTGGAGGTGGCAGCAGGGGTAGTGCTCTTCGTCTTTGAGCCTTTGGTGAGATCTGATGCACCGTACCAGAACAAAAGCACATATACATACAACAAAAATGGTGTAGGATTTACAATTTTCACCCAAAACAATTTCACTAATTTCACAACTAATAAAGAAAGAGCTAGTAACACATTTAATTAAATGTGAAACTTTCAAGTCAAAAGACTGAAATATTTTCTTGTAAAACTTCATCTTTGTTTTGTTTACTATGTCATAAAAGCATAAACATTTTGTTTTCCAATTAAGCTTCAATCAGGGGCCACCACATAGCTACACCCCTGCATAAATTCATTTTTTATTATTATTATTGAATAATGATTTTTGAAAATCATTTTATGGGGACTGCACTTACAAGGAACAATTTCCAGCCTATTTTAAAGATATCTCGACACAATTATATTAATTTCATGAGCATGGGCGCTAACAGGAATAACACAAATACAAAATACTTTCTTAGCAACTCAAAAATCATATGTATTAAAGTAAAAAATACAGAGTAATCATGTTATACAAAGGAGCTTAACATAACAATTGGAGCCTTAAAAGATGTGAGCTTTAAATTAATTAGAATAAAGACATTTTCCATGACCAAGTTTATATTGGCAATACAAGATACAGCACATTAAGAACCACAATGGCTTATTTGTACAAAAATACATTTAAAACCCACATACACCTTATTATTTGATCTGTTTATGATTCCATAATCCTGTATTGTTGAAATTCATCTGTATTTACAAACACGGCAGAGCGTTATTCTGTAAAATCAGAGACTGAAGGTCAATTTTAACCTCATTCCAGGTTCAAAACGTTCTGGATGAAATTGAAGAAAAAGTAGCTAGAAGCATTGAGGACAACTATGGTAGTGATGAGAGTTTCACTTCAGTCTGGAATAGCACTATGAATGAGGTACGGCACCAGTCATCATGCCCAGCTGTTTTCTGATATTAGAATCCCTGATAATTAAAACGGTTGTAAACCACTGTATGTGCATGTGTTTTTTTTTTCTAGCTGAAATGCTGCGGATATAACAACTACACGGACTTCATGGACTCTCAGTTCGTATCTACAACATCATCATATCCTGTCACATGTTGCACAAGCAGTTCTGGACCCTGTAATGAAACTGCAGCAAAAGCAGATGTACGTTACAGAACACTTTGTGCTGAAACTTACTACCAAAACTGAAATGTATGAGTTTAATGAAATGTATTCATTTGCTATTGCATGGCATTAATTTGTCACTCAGTTAGCCGCCAGTTAACGATCAAAACAGCAAGCTACTTTTTTTGCACCAAAGATGCATTGGTTTAGCCCAGTACGTTGCAAATTATGAATGCATATAATACCATAATTGTGCATTAAGGACGTCAAAACAAAGCTGTGGCATGATAAAATAGGCAAAAAAGTAATTGTTTAAGCAAATGCAGATATTGTATTAATGTGTGTATTTTATCAGTGTGTGTTTTTGCTGTTGTTGTAGTCTGTCGTGGGCTGCTTCCAGGCATTAGTGAATCTGATCGAGGACAATGCAGTTCTGCTGGCTGGCGTGGCTTTGGGAATCGCTGCTTTAGAGGTATTTGCTTCATTTTTACTTTCAACTTGTGGAATTCAGCACATGCACCCAATGACAAAAGATGATCAACATCTCAGTATGTGATACAGTAGAATTAATGGTCTGAATTATTGGCAAAGCTTTATGCATTACATTGCATTTTTAATTGGTTTGATATTCATTTGGATGAATTTTAGGAAAGGTCTGGCTCACATTTATTAAAGGTTTGCCAGTTTTTGTTCCACAGACCATCCTGCGATGAGATATTGAGTCTTCCATACACGTATAAGCAAAATTTGGGACAAAGACAGCCAATATGGTTAAACCAACTAAAATAAAAATAAAAGATTAGTTATAAGAATAAAAATTTAGTTTTGCAATACCAATATAGATACAAAAACAGGGAATTAAAAAAGATCAAGTAACCAACCAAATATTAAGTATTCATTTTTTTATTACTGCAAATTATCTATTGTATACAATATTGCACCTAATTTGTTCCTTCACAGATTGCAGCAATGGTTGTTTCCATGATCCTCTACAAGAATGTAGGAAAATGAGACCAAGACTGACTACAGACATTTCTGTTTACATCATTGTTTACTGTGAAATGTAACTATTCAATATTTTATCTGGAGTTATGTAAATACCACATCTGCTGCACGTATGAACGACATTTGCACTAAAATATTTGATGTTTTGTGTTCTCTTTTTTTTTTCAATCAATTTTTACTTTAACCTCAAGTACAAGCATATTTGATCCTGACTGCAAAGGTTTAATATCTAAAACAATGTTGTGTTGAATACTACAGCTCATTAAAGATCACTACAACATTTTCTACACTATCTTTGATACATTTAAAAAATATATATATATATATATATATATATATATATATTTGTAATGTTTGTGCATGTATGAATAAAATAAACAGATGTTTTTAAACCTCTATACCAATAATGACACATAAGACAGGAAACGCTGGTGGAAAAGTCCCATGAATGTATTACATTGCAGCCACGAGGGGCCCCTCTCTCTCTAGCTGAATGACTCAATATGAAGTATTATTTATTACTCATATGCAGCTCCAACACAGTAGTTTCTTTCCTCTGTGAAACACATAAGTAGATTTTAAGCAGGAGGTAAATATAGGTTATTCTAAAACAAAATGAAGAAACAAACAAAAATAATTGTGACGGTAATCCATGAACGGTGATAAGTAATATTCCAAATCTTTAGACAACATGCAAAATCTACAGTACATTATTAAAAAGTGTTACGCTGCATATGTTACCTTAAAATGCTATTTCTACTTGCTCTATCTAACCTCTAGCTTCATTTTGTTGGTGTAACCTAATGTAAGGGCTAGCTAACATGTTAGATTAGTAGAGCATCAAAACACTACCATTTATTTGATTAAAACCATGTTTAAGCTCCAAACTCACTTAATAAAGTAGGTTGAGTGTTTTAAATAGCCTTATGTTATCCAATGTTAATCACAGAATGAGGCAGAAAATACTGTGTAGTAGGCCTAGTCTGTATGTGATAAAGGCTATGCCAATTATAAATATACTATTATTCTTATTAAAATACCCAAGATGTCTTGAAGAACACAGATAAACTATCTGCTAGGGGGCACCAGTCAGTAATCTCTTAACAAAGCTGTCGAAGACTTTAAATACTCCTCACCACGAATGGAGTGTTTTATGACACTTTTTGGAGCTTGCCATTTAAAATCACAGATCCACTTTCATTTTAATCATAAAAAAAAAAGATTTTGTGTTATAACAAGGACTCCAGCATAGAACACGTATAGTATGGTATCTTCACTGGGACAGACACTCAAATGAATGCTGTTTTCATACACAGTTAACTAGTATGAGGTCCTGTAGGTTATCAGTTTTGTTAGTACAGTCCACTGTGTGTCTTTACAATCTCTAAATGTATTGCTGTGCATTATTAAGTTTTGAATTCAGAGGTATTGAACGCAAGAAAACTGCAAACTATTGCAATATAAACGCTTTATTTTCTGCCTTGAAAATATTAACAATGAGGCTTAAAGTTGAAACCCCAAAGAACATATAAAAAAAAAAACAATACAAAATGTAAATGAAAAATACACTTCGATGGTTATACACTTTTATCAATTCACTGAACTTTCTATCCATGCTCTCAGTCCTTTCATCATTTCAGTAACACATCATGCTGAGGACACACCTCTGCGAGCAGTTAACTAACACACACACACACACACACACACACACACACACTCACGCACAC